TGTCCGCCGTCCGTGAGGATTTTTGTTAGACAGATATTCTCCGAAACTAGTGGACCGATTTTTGTCAAATTTTATATGTAAGTAAATTACGAATATCATGTTGATGGTAAAACGCTAACCAAACTTTGTCTAGTCATCTCCACCAACAATGTGATGATGACACCTCAAAATTGTACATAGTAAATAGGTTTAAACTGTGTAAAATAATATAGTCCTACACGTATAGTTTATGAATCCGTGTTGAGTTTTTACCCGAAACGACCAGATTTTTGGAAGAAAAATCAAAATTATATAACAATTGTGTGTTGCATGTTAAAACTTACATTACAAAATATACAATTTTAATTTTTTTTTTCCAAAAATCTCGATGTCCAGTGTGAAAACGCAGTACGAATTCATACACCACAACTGCAGGAATATCGTATTTTATAAAATTACTATTGTAAATTTTGGATTGTCAGTCATCCCATTGGTGGGGGGATGATTAATCAACTTTTGGTCAGCGTTTTGCAATATACACGATATTCTTAACATAAGTATAAAATTTGATAACAATTGGTGCGGTAATTTCGAAGATTATCAGTCTAATAAAAAAAAACACAGACGTTGGAGAGTCAGGCGTCAGAGAGACGGAACCGGGAGACCAAATTTTTCGTACTCTAGACGTCATGAAACGTCAAGAAAACATGCAAGTAGCAAGTTGCTTGATAGACTCGATTACTATACTTGTGACTGTATTATAAGTGAAAGTAATTCGAAGTCCTGGAATTTAAGACTAGACTTTTCAAACTGTATGCTACTGTTGCTAAAAACTCACATTTCATCACTCGCAGGCTGTAAACCAACCTGAATTCTAATTCTAAGGCGATTTTGACATGTTTCGAACGCTATTACTGACAGAAACGTCTTATAATTTTTGTAATTGTAATTGTAATCGAGTCCGTCGACCGACTCTCTACTTTTACGTTTTTTCGAGCTTTCATGACCCCTACAGTAGGAAGAAATAGGTCTCCTGTTTCCGTGTGTCTGTCTGTCCGTTTGGCTGCCGTCCCAAATTTTTATTAGACAGATAATCTCCGAAAGTACTGGGACAATTGTTGTCAAATTTTGTATTTATATTAGGAACGTCATGTAGATGGTATAACGCTAACCGAAATTTGCCTAATCATCCTCACCAATAACGTGATGATATCATTTCACAATTGTACATAGTAAATGGGTTTTAAAATGTATAAAATAACATGTAGTTTATGAAGCCGTGTTGAGTTTTTATCGAAACGTCCAGATTTTTGGGAAAAGAATCAAAATTATAAAGCAACATTTTGCAATTTAATTTTGAATCTGCAGACCGGAATGCTTTGAAATCTTGCAGACGTTATAAAGTTATGATAATCATGATAAATTTTTAATCAAAATTATTTACTTATCCCCTCCAAAAGATTGATGACGTCAGCTCAAAATGTTGCCGAATAAATCCTTTCGGAAAAGTCCAAAATATGATGAGTCTATATTTGGGAACAACAGTTGCTCCAAAAACACGTAATATACCTGAATACATGTGATATTTATGTAAATTTCTGTGCAAATCCTATCCTTCCTCTTATCCTATCTTTCGTCTACCTGCCCTATGGTCCAACTTTCTCTTTCAGTTTCTAGAATTTTCTAAACGCTTTCTTTAAGTTCTTCCACCTCTCCAAAACCGAACCTACGTGTCGACAATTTTTAAACACCATTCCTTTTTCTTCCTCGAGCTCTCAACCCGTAAGCATCTAATAAAAATCTGAAAACCGTGACCGTCGCTATTTCTTATTAAAATCCCCACCGATACCCACAATTCCATTCATATTTTTTGGACTTACTTATACAAGTGACTCAAAAAAATTATTGATTAAATCAAAAATTGCAAAACTCAATACTTTGAAATCTTGTAGACGTTTTGATGTTATGAAAGAATGGTAAATTATTTATCAAAATATATCTGTTCATCAACTCCAAAAAATTTATGACGTCATCTCAAAATTTTGCAGAATAAATCCTATCTAAAATGATCAATCTATAATTGTAATTTATCACTGCATTCATATTTTTTAGCTTTGCTTATAGAGGGTGACTCCAAAAAATTAATGAATCAGTCAATTTATTTTATTGAATAAATCAAGAATAGCAAAACTGAATATTTTGAAATCTTGCAGCCGTTTTCAAGTTATTGAAGCATGGTAAATTGTTGATCAAAATATATCTGTTTAGGTCCCCCAAAAAACTGATGACGACATCTCAAAATTTTGTAGAATAAATTCCACCCAAAATGTGCAAATGTGTTCTTATTTGTGGTCGATCATTGCACTCATATTTTTTAGATTTTCTAAAACAGGGGACTCAAAAAATTAATGAATGGGTCAAATTTATTTTATTGATTAAATCAGGAACGCCTCACTCCATTTTCCCAGAAAATTTTGGGAATAGAATACTGTTATTTTTAGTATTTTACACTGCATCAATCCAAGTTGATATACTTGTATTTGTAAAAATGACGTCATCACAAAACGTTGCTTTTAGCAACAATAGCAACTTAAATTCGAATTTGAAGACGATTTAAGCAACAATAGCGACTCGAATTCTAATTTCAAGACGATTTTGAGACGATTCAAACACCATTAGTGACAGAATGTTTAATGAAACACAGGTTCAACACATAGAACTTTTATAAACACCTATATGACGTAAGTGAAAGAATTCGAAGATGCTGAAATTTTAAATACAATAATCAGGGCTAATTGAGGAAATCGAGCTTGGAATGTCCTACATAAAAAAGAATAAGAAAAAAGAAGGGCTCGGACTGTGTCCAGAATGGAGGGCCATATCTCGAAAATCTTGTGTGGTTACTATAAACTGGCATCAAATCGGCTCTTTTCAGAACCAATAGTAATTTCGACAAATAAAGTAACAGTAAATTGGTACTAGTCAATATTTTGGAGAAGAATGTGCACTCTGCACTAATGTTGGTTAGTGGTTACACGAAAACCTAAATTCTGCGATCCCATATTACATACGACTGCAACAACTGTATAATCACAAATAAATTTTTCAATTTAAAGCTGGTTAGATGGTTGCTAATCTTATTATTACTGATACAATGCCTCAACAGAGTGAAAACTCCAATTACACTAGTTTACAAGGTTTTATATCCAAAGACAAAAATAGTTGAATCTGAAGGATTTGGGTTCAGGAAAATCAAATCTGAAAGCAGAGAAAATCCATCACGTCAGGTTTTTGAGACATTTATATAAACATATCCCGTATTTCTCTTCTTTTATACAACTCTTGTTATTTTTTTGTTTTTAAATATATATGAACATATAGTTCTTTTAGCAAATTTGTTTCATTTTACAAGATCATCTACGTCAATAAATAACATGAGTGTCAATTTTTCAAGCTACTAGATTGTCATCAATATTTTATTTAAAATTTTTCAAGTATTGATTTTAGAATAATTGGTTGCTTTTGATTTCTCTACGGGACGTGATAATAAAAATGTGAGCTTGGTCTCACAAAGATCTTTTAAAAGGATATAAATTTGCTCAAAGAAATACAGGTTTATCTTTAAAAATAAAGTAGTTACAGGGGTTGCATCAAATAAAAGCAACACCTAGTATATATTATAAACATTATGACTGAAAATTAAAAATGATTAACACTAGCGTTTCTTTTATTGACAGTACTGTCAGTTTTCCTTATAATAGACCAACAGTAACACATTTTCGTCCCAAAATCCTTGATACCTTCTTTTTAAGCATATTTGAACAGGTCTTCCCGCTTTAGGTACTATAATTTTACCACAAACGTAACAAAACTGATTTGTACTTACTTTGCACGATTTCGAAGACATGTTTTATGCCACAGTATTAACATGAATCAATTTAACCTAACGTGAAGGTAAAAACAAAGTTCATTATTTTGTATTAAAAGCTGACGCGATAAGGATTAGTATCCATTTTTGGATTTGTTATCAATAAGTAATTTAGAAGTAAAAAATATTTTTTTTATTTTTGGATATGAAAAAAAGTTTAAATTTGTAAATTAATGTCATTCTTAGGCAAGGAGCATAAAGATTAACAAGAAAGAGTGGAGTGAAATTAGCAAGTTTAAAATCTTAAGCACATAAACGAAACACAATGAATGCTAGACAACTTGATGGAATGTGCTGTACTGATGAGATCAAACAAGATAGAAACTGCAGGCTACAGTTTTCCAACACGTTGTCTAGTCTCCGGGGTGATTGCAAATTAATGTATTTTAAATTTGGCCCTAATTTGATGCCTTTGGACGTAACCAGAGACTTTAAATACAGTATGTATTAAAGTCTCTGGACGTAACAGTCGATACCATGTTTCCTTCTACCATGCGTTGGACATATGTATGACGGCGACGTTGCCAAGTTTCAGAGGTCAGAACGTACAGTTTATATGCCGGAGGTAACAACATACTAGCAGTGTATAAAGGTAAGCGACGCCAGCGCCAACGGTCTACAGCTGAACTAAAATAAAAAGTTGCGACTATGGGATGCACGTTATGACCTCCAGACGAAAATTGAAAATCAAGCTCCTAGCGCCCCCTAGATGATTAAAAAATTATTTACAAGGCAAAACGTTTCTACCTCCGAAAACGGAGGTAGGAACGTTGTAGATGAGGTGACAACGTACTATACGTATATACTTCGGAGGTAACAACATACCGTGCATACATATATATATATATATATATAAAGCCATTTTGGCTAAAAACAGAAATCTTTACAGTGAAAAATTTAGAGAAATATCCTAGTTATATAGCAATATAAACAAACGAAAAATACAACATAGACGAAGAATCTTTAATTTTCTCAAATTTTCTAATTTCGAATTATTAGGGACAACTTTTAATATTTCAAAAAACCATTCTAAACCCCTGTTATCAAAATATTAACCACCTAAAATACGGGCTTCAAAAATAAAAGAGTCAAGAAATAAAGTAAGAATTTATTGGACCATTTGTTTGTGGACACCAAAAAAAAGATGATAAGTAAATATGACAAAAACGAGAACAATATTACGATAATTTTTTAATAAATTAAAACAACCCTTTTACGGTACATAACATGGGTAAATCAAGCACATACATCCAGAATTACCAAAATAACATAATTTGCGCTAACAATCGACGTTCCAATTCATTCGTTTGATTTTCCAGGTTCGGAAGCTCCTCAGCAATCTGGGTTAGACGTGCACCAGCATTTTCAAGTAATCGTCTAATCATGTTTTTTCGGTACTCTGATAGTCTTTTTAGTTCTGTAAAATCTCTCTGCTCTGCGCTAGGTATCCCAGGGTACATTCGTAGGAACTCGTCGCCTACCAAACGGGGTGAGAATGGCTTCATTATCTCTTCAGGAACTACCTCGAACCGAAAGTCCTTGTACGTGACGAACGTCCGTTTAAAAATAAATGTATTTTTGGGCTGTGCAAAGTTTACTATACAAAAAACAAAATATTCTGGAAGCAGAGGCACCAAACTCATAAGATTTTGGTGAATTACAGCCTCCCTTGCAGTTATCCCGGCGCCACTGCTTGTTGTGCATCGGTACCAGCCAACCATCTTTGGAAACAAATCTCCCAGCACACGCGTCAGCATTTCTCTGAGTCTCCCATTGTTGTAGAAACCTGTGTTCCACTTCACGCACGTTTTAATATGCAAGGTTTTGTAGCGACGGATGTATGGATTTTCAACGGCATCGCTAATCGGTACAACTTCTGATCTTTCTTTCATTTCACCTATCAAGAGGCCTTGCTAAAAAAGACACGAATAAATAATTTTCAAAGAATGATGGTATTTACCTGGACGTGGTAATATGCTAGGTTGTCGACAGCTAACAACGGGACTGTGATTGGGGCCATGGACACCGACCACTTGTTATCTACTTCCGTAGACTCTGTCTTTTTACTTAAAATGGTAAATTAATTAAATTCGTTGGTAGAATAACCAAAATTGTTGCTTTTTGTAAGTAAAAGATAAAGTTACACCTGTAGTTTTTAGTTGTTTTTACTTCCCGAGCGTAAGCAAAGGAAGTATTGTAATCGAGTCCGTCGGCCGACTCTCTACTTTTACGTTTTCTCGATCTTTCATGACCCCTAGAAGACGAAGAAATAGGTCTCCCATTTCCGTCTGTCTGTCCGTCTGTCCGTCTGTCCGTCCGTCTGTCCGTCTGTCCGTCTGCCGTCCCGGATTTTTATTAGACAGATAATCTCCGAAAGTACTCGACCGATTGTTGTGAAATTTTGTACTTATATTAAGAATATCATGTAGATGGTAAAACGCTAACCAAAATTTGTCTAATCATCCCCACCACTAATGCGATGACGTCACTTCAAAATTGTACATAGTAAATGGGTTTTCAATTGTATAAAATAACATAGTCCTACACATGTAGTTTACAACTCTGAATCGACTTTTCACCCGAAACGTCCAGATTTTTGGAAAAAAAATCAAAATTATAAAACAACATTTTGAAATTTAATTTTTAATCTGCTAACCAGAATGCTTTGAAATGTTGCAGATGTTTTAAGGCTATAAAGAGCATCATAAATCTTTAGTCAAAAAATATTTGCTTGTCCCCTCCAAAAACTTGATGACGTCAGCTCAAAAGTTTGTGGAATAAATCATATCTAAAATGTACAAAATATGATGAGTCTGTACTTGTGATCTATCACTCCATTCATATTTTTTGGATTTGCATATACAGGGTGACTCAAAAAAATTAATGAATGCGTAAATTTATTTTACTGATTTACTCAGAAACTACAAAACCGAATGCTTTGAAATCTTGCAGATGTTTTAAGGTTATAAAGAGCATAATAAATGTTTAGTCAAAATATATTTGCTTATCCCCTCCAAAAAATTGATGACGTCAGCTCGAAAGTTTGCCGAATAAATCCTATCTAAACTGTAAAAATATGATGAGTCTGTACTTGTAATTTATCACTCCATTCATATTTTTTGGATTTGCATATACAGGGTGACTCAAAAAAATTAATGAATGCGTAAATATATTTTATTGATTTAATTAGGAACTACAAAACCGAATGCTCTGAAATCTTGCAGATGTTTTAAGGTCATAAAGAGCATAATAAATGTTTAGTCAAAATATATTTGCTTATCCCCTCCAAAAACTTGATGACGTCAGCTCGAAAGTTTGCCGAATAAATCATATCTAAAATGTACAAAATATGATGAGTCTGTACTTGTGATTTATCATTCCATTCATATTTTTGGATTTGCATATGCAGGGTGACTCAAAAAAATTAATGAAGGCGTGAATTTATTTTATCGATTTAATCAGGAATTACAAAACCGAATGCTTTGAAATCTTGGGAATATTTTAAAGTTATTATAAGCATGGTAAACTTTCGTTCAAAATGTATTTGTTCATCCCTCCTAAAAAAATTGATGACGTCACCCTTAAATTTTGCTGAATAAATCCTATCTAAAATGCAAAAAATATGATGAGTTTGTACTTGTGATTTATCATTCCATTCATATTTTTTAGATTTTCTTAAGAGGTGGTTCAAAAAAATTAATGAAGTCAATTTATTTTATTGATTAAATTAAAGGCAACACTTATTATTAGTATTACACCCCAACCAACCCAATTTGGTAGACACAAAATTTGTTAAAGGAAAAACTCGGGTGAAACATAAGGGTAGCACGCTTATTTACATCGACTTTAACATTACAGACCTGCATTTGTTTTATGCGCTCACTTGGTTCCGCGAATGTGAAATAGACATGTTTATAATCAACCAATTGTGAATTTCACCGTCAAGAATTAAAATAAAACCCAATGTTTTATATAATAAGCGGAAGTCGAAGCAATAAAACCGATGGTCATTTTGTTTACAGTTTCTCTGTTTGACTCTCACGTATGTTGTTACGCTTGTCATCTTAAATTAAGAATGTTTATACATAAACGATTTTCAGTTGCCTTTCATATTACTAGACAGCGGATTTTTGTCGGGCTACGTCACGTTTAATCGGTACTAATTCCATAAATATAATTAACGATTTATTAATCAAACGGCTAAGTAAATGAGAACGGGAATTAACAGCAGAGTGCAACGAAACAGCGTTATTCTAATCTCAAATAAACGAAGTGCAGTCCGCAACCGCAATGAATTCGCATCCCGTACGAGCCGTACCGAGTTTGGCCTTGCCTAGCCCGACAGAAATCCGCTCTCTAGATATTACACACCGACGCCGTATACGTGAGTAAATTGTTTCGTTATTTTATTGATTATAAGAAATCAATAATCAAAACGACCCAATTCATTTTCCCGAAAATTTGGGAATAGAATAATTTTATTCTTAGTATTACACTACATCTATCCCAACTGATATACGTGTCCTTGCAAAAATGTTGATGACGTCATCACAATTTTTTTTTAAATTCCCACTACAAAAATGTAATGAGAAAAAAAAAACACAATAGGCATGCAGTCGTCAAGTTTCCGACAGCGAGGGAAGTACTGTCTAAACTCTTTAGACCAATTTTTTCTACTTCGTTGAAAGCAGTATTTCCGATTACTCTCACGTATGAGTGTAAAATTTTGTTATGATCACACTAAAAGGATTTTCAGATTTTCAGTAATATCGAAAGCCTTGAAAGTCAAGAAATGGAAAAATCAAAACATCGATTAATTAAAAAATCGAAAAATTGACGGTTTATAAATGTCAAATTTGAAAAATTAACAAAATCGAAAATTTGACAAAATGACAATTGAAAAACAGAAAACTGACGACAGAAAATCTAAAACCGGGAGGTCGAAAAATCCAAAGATTAAATAATCGAAAAAGTAAAAAAATCGATACATCGATAACTCCAGAAGTCAAAAATCGAAAAGTCGAAGAATCGAAATATTGAAAAATCCCAAAACTGAAATATCCAAAAACGGAGAACCTAAAAAGTCGAAAAATTGGACAATCGAAAAATCCAAAAAGTGAAGTCGAAAAATCGAAACCTTAAAAAACTAAAAAATGAAAAATCGAAAACCTGAAAAATCGAAAAATTAAAGAATTGAAGAACAGGAATATCGAAAGCCTCGAAAGTCAAGAAATGGGAAAATCAAAACATCGATTAATTAAAAAATCGAAAAATTGACAGTTTATAAATGTCAAATTTGAAAAATTGAAAAACCGAAAATTTGAAAAAACGACAACTGAAAAACAGAAAATCCAAAACCGGGAAGCCGAAAAATCAAAAGAGTAAGAAAAAAATGGAAACATTTGAAAAATTCGAAAACTTGAAAAACTGAAATATCGAAGGACTGAAATGAAAAATCGAGAAATCGAAAAATCTAAAATTTTAAAAATTAAACAATCTAAAATTTAAAAATCGAAATATTGAAAAATCTAAAAAGCAAAAAAATCGACACATCGAAAAATCCAGGAGTCAAAAATCGAAAAGTCGAAGAATCGAAATATTGAAAAATCCCAAAACTGAAATATCCAAAAATTGAGAACCTAAAAAGTCGAAAAATTGGGCAATCGAAAAATCCAAAAACTGAAGTCGAAAAATCGAAATCTTAAAAAAATTAAAAAATGAAAAATCAAAAACCTGAAAAATCCAAAAACTAAAGAATTGAAGAACAGAAAGTCAAGAAATGGGAAAATCAAAACATCGATTCATTAAAAAATCGAAAAATTGACAGTTTATAAATGTCAGAAATCGAAATGTTTGAAAAATTGAAATATGGAAGAGCTGAAATGAAAAATAGAGAAATCGAAAAATCTAAAATTTTAAATATTGAAAAATGAAAATATCAAAAAACCGAAAAATGTAAAAAATTCAATATCGAAAAACTGAAAAGACGACAATTGAAAAACAAAATTTAAAACCGGGAAGTCGACAAATTGAAAGATTAAGAAATCGAAATGTTTGAACAATTGAAAAATGGAAGAGCTGAAATTAAAAATCGAGAAATCGAAAAATCTAAAATTTTAAATATTGAAAATTGAGAAATCGAAAAAGTAAAAAGTCGACACCTCGAAAAATCCAGAAGTCAAAAATGGAAAAGTCGAAGAACCGAAATTTTGAAAAATCCCAAAACTGAAATATCGAAAAACTGAAAAATGAAAGAAAAATTGACGAATCGAAAAACTGAAAAATCCCAAAACTGAAATATCCAAAAACTGAGAACCTAAAAAGTCGAAAAATCCAAAAAGTGAAGTCGAAAAATCGAAACCTTAAAAAAACTAAAAAATGAAAAATCAAAAACCTGAAAAATCGAAACGTTTGAAAAATTGAAATATGGAAGAGCTGAAATAAAAAATCGATAAATCGAAAAATCTGAAATTTTAAATATTGAAAAATTAAAATACCAAAAACTGAGAAATCTAAAATTTAAAAATCGAAAAAGTAAAAAGTCGACACATCGAAAAATCCAGAAGTCAAAAATGGAAAAGTCGAAGAACAGAAATATTGAAAAATCCCAAAACTGAAATATCCAAAAACTGAGAACCTAAAAACCCGAAAAATTGGACTATCGAAAAATCCAAAAACTGAAGTCGAAAAATCGAAATCTTAAGAAAACTAAAAAATGAAAAATCAAAAACTGAAAAATCCAAAAATTAAAGAATTGAAGAACAGAAAGTCAAAAAATGAGAAAATCAAAACATCGATTAATTGAAAAATCGAAAAATTGAGAATTTATAAAAGTCAAATTTGAAAAATTAAAAAATCGAAAATTTGACAAAATGACAATTGAAAAACAGAAAATTGAGAACAGAAAATCTAAAACCGGGAAGTCGAAAAATCGATAGATTAAGAAATTAAAGTATTTGAAAAACTGAAATATTGAAGAACTGAAATGAAAAATCGAGAAATCGAAAAATCTAAAATTTTAAATATTGAACAATTAAAATACCAAAAAATTGAGAGATCGAAAAAGTAAAAAGTCGACACATCGAAAAATCCAAAAGTCAAAAATGGAAAAGTCCAAGAATAGAAATATTGAAAAATCCCAAAACTGAAATATCGAAAAACTGAAAAATGAAAGAAAAACTGACGAATCGAAAAACTGAACAATCCTAAAACTGAAATATCCAAAAACTCAGAATCCAAAGAAACGAAAAATTGAGACATCGAAAAATATAGAATAATAAGAATAACAAGTAAACTGAAAAATCAAAAAAATGAAATTGAAAAATCGAAACCTAAAGAAATAGAAAAATTGAAAAACTAAAAAACCTGAAAAATGAATTAATTGAAAAAGAGTTTATAAAAGTCAAAAATTGAAAAAATCGAAAAATTTAAAAATCTTAAAATTGAAGAGAAAAACTGAAAACCGGGAAATTGAAAAATTGAGAAATTGTAAAATCCAAAAATTGAGGAGTAAACTGAAAAGTCCCCAACCTAAAATTTCGAAAAACTGAGAATTCGAAAGTTGAAACAGCAAGAAATTATGGTCGAAACCGGTTAGGATGTGTATCAGATCACGAATCATGGCTTATAAATCAAATCGTTTCCGAACGCTTAGAGTCGATATTGGCCTGAGTGCGTTCTGGTCTGTACATCAAACAAGTTCTCAGACGACGAAATATCTTATGCTATGAAAAGAAAACTCAATGTCTTCATTATCTTCATTCCAACTACTTTGGAATTTCTTGTTTTACAAAATCAAGTCTGCACTTTTTACGTGCCATTGGTTGCAAACTCCTATCGCGTCATATGGCATGAGAAGGAGTTTTCCAAAATAAAACCATTTTGCGTAATAGTAGAAAATCTTTACAGCGAAAAATTTAGAAAAATATCTAGTATAGTAATATAAACAAATAAAATAATACAACATAGACGAGGAATTTTTTATTTTCCCAAAATTGCCAATTTCAAATTTTTAGCGACCGTTTTTAATATGTTAAAAAACCCTTTTAGATATCCATTCTTAAAATTTTAATCACCTAACGATATTTTAAAATAAAAGTAAGAATTTATTGGACCATGGCCGACTCCATTAATCTCTAAAGAGATTAATGGAGTCGGCCATGATTGGACTATTTGTCTATGAGCACTCAACGACGAAAAAAAAACATGACAAGTAAATGTGACAAAAACGACAACAACATTATGATAAATTTTGAACAGTTTAAAACTACTTACTCTTTTAGACTTAAATTTAACGGGATAAGATTATTGTAGAAATCTAGCGAATTAGTTCTACCATTCTGGTCCCTCAACAGCACAGGGGGTTGACTGTACACTTCATGCACACCTGATTCCACCGACAGAACCTCCTGAACAACCTGGGTTAGACGTGTATCAAAATTGTCAAAAATTTCTCTACTCACGTTTTCTGGCAAATCCGACGGCCCTGCGCCTTCCAACTTGGAAGGCACTGGCTCGAACAAAGAGTCGTTGTACTGGAAGAACATCCCACCAAAATTAAATGAGCTGTAATATTCGGTCGGTTTGTTTATTATACAAAAAACAAAATATTTTGGCAGGGGCACCAAACTCATAAGGTCTCTGTGAATCATATTCTCCTTTTGAGTTATCTTGGTGCCACGGAATGATCTGCATCGGTACCAGCCAACTGTGACTGGAAGCAAATTTCCCAGCAATTTCTTCACTACTTCAGGAATGACTCTCCCGTATCTGTCGTAGAAAGGTTGATAGTTCAACGACTTCAAGAACGTTTTAATTTCCAGAGTTTTGCAACGGGTGTATGGTCTTTCAACCTCATCACTAATCGGTACCTCTTGTAGTCCTTTCAATTCACCTATCAAGAAACCTTCCTAAAAAAGACACGAATAAATAATTTTCAAAGAATGATGGTATTTACCTTGGTGTATTCTTCTATTAGGTCGTCGAAAGCTATCAACGGGGTGGTTGGGGCGATTGACACCGACCAGTTGTCATCTATATAGTCTTCCGTTATGGCACTACTCGTAGACTCTGGCATTTTATTTGCTGAACTCGATCTATTCGTGGCAAATTAATAAAATTCGTTGGTAGAACAGCCACAACTGATGGTTTCTTATTGCTTTTTGTGAGTAAAAGACCAACTTGCACCTGTAGTTTTTAGTTGTTTTTTTCTACTTCGTTGAAAACAGTATTTCCGATTACTCTCACGTGCGAGGTCCGTGCAAAATTTTGTTATAATCACACTACAAGGATTTTCAGAATGTTTTTTTTAATTTAACTGTCGACTTTCGTACATCCTAGAATATGAAAAAATAGTTTCCCATTTCCACTTATCTGTCGTCTTCTGGCAACTATATTAGACAAATAATCTCCGCAACTGTTAGACAGGTTGTAATGAAATTAAATTTTAAAAATATTGTGTGGATCGTAAACATTCACCAAAATTTATCTAGTCATCCCCCTCAAAAATTTAATGATACCGTCATATCAAAATTTGTGATAGGCAAATTTTTGACTTTGTTAGTTCTCTTATTTTACAATTTTTTGAGTTTTAAACTTTTAGTTTTTTAGCTTTTCAATTTCGTGTTTTTTATTTTTCAGCAAAGGGACAAATTTATTCAAACCAAAAATCCAAAAATTTCAAAATGAAAATCGAAAAACTAAATAATCGAGTTTTTCGTTATAAAATTTTCCAAATTCTCCATTTTTAACTCTTTATTTTCTCGATTTTTCATTTTTTAATTGTTCAACAAAAGGACAAATTTATTCAAACTGAATTTTGAAAAATTAAAAAATTTAAAAATCAGAAAATTGTAACACTGAAACGTCTAAGAATTATAAAATAGAAAAATCAAAAAATTTAAAAATTGAGAAGTAGAGGAATTGAAAAAATAGAGAAAAATTGAAAAAACCGAGACAATGAGAATCAAAAATTGAAAAATGAAACTTGAAATTCAAAAAATTTAAAAATTGAAAAATCGAAAAATGAAAAAATTGAGAAATTGAACAATAGGATAATTGAAAAAACAATTGAAAAATCGAAAAATTGTAATATTGAAACCTGAAAACCCTAATTAAATAAAAATCGAGAAGTGAAAAATTGAAAAAACGAAAAATAAAAACTTCTATAAATTAAATAATCAAATATACAAAAAAAAAAATTCAAAATCCAAAAATTTTAAAATGAAAACCGGAAAACTAAAAAGAAATTGTAAAAACGAAACACTGAAAAACCGAAAAATTTAAAAGTTGAGACATCGAAGAATTGAAAAATACAGAAAGTAAAAAATCGAATAACGGAAAAGGCAAGAATTGTACAATTGAATAATAAAAACCCTAATAATTATTTGAAAAAAGTGAAAAATTAAAAATCGGCAAATTTAAGATTGAAACAATTACAAAATTGTAAATTTGAAAAAAAAAATTAAAAATGGAAAATCAAAAATTGAAAAACCAAACTTGAAATATCGAAAAAATGAAAAAATTGCCAAACTGAAAATTGGGTAACGAAAAAACCAATTAAAAAATGGACAACTGAGAAAAACATAGAAACTGTAAAATCGAAAATTTGTAACATTGAAACCTGAAAAAGTGATAAATTAAAAATCGAGACATTGAAAAATCGAAAAAACGAAAAATTGTAAAATTCAACAGATAGAAAATCGAAAAATTAAAAAGCAAATTAGAAAATCGAAAAATTAAAGTATCTACAAATTAAAAAATACAAAAATTTTATTGAAAAATCCAACAATTTCATAATGAAACTCGAAAAACTAAAAAAAGGAGAAATGTAAAAATGTAAAAACGAACCACGGAAAAATCGAAAAATTATCAATAATTAAAAAAACGAAAAATATAAAAATTCCGAAATGAGAAATCAAAATATCGAAGAAACAAAATAATTTGGAATTACACACTTAGAAGTACTTTATTTTTAATTTTTCATTTTCTCAATTTTTCGTTTTTTAATTTTTCAACGAAAGGGCAAATTTATTAAAACTGAAAAATTAAAAAATCAAAAAATTAAAAACTGAAAAATCGAAAAAGAAACACTGAAAAACCCAACAATTAAAAAATTGAGGTATCGAAGAACTGAAAAAATAAAGAAACTCAAAATCGAATAACTAAGAGGTCAACAATTGGAAAAGGGAAAATTGTAACCTTAAAAATGAAAACCCTGAAAATTTAAAAAACAGAAAAATCGAACAATTACAAAATTGAAAATCAAAAATAGAAAAAACGAAATTTGAAACACCGAGAAATTTAAAAATTGTAATCTTAAAACTTGAGAAACTGAAAATTTCGATAATTGAAAAAAACTAAAAATTTGAAAAATTGAAAAACAAGAAACTGTAAAATCGAAAAACAAAGTTTTCTAGAAATAGAAAAATCGACAAATTGTAAAATTCAAAAGTTGAAGAATCGAAAAATTAAAATATCTAGACACTAAAAAATCGAAAAATACAAAAAAATACAAATTGAAAAATCCAAAAATGACAAAATAAACATGGGAAAACTGTAATATTAAAAAATCGAATACTGAAAAATTAAAAAAAAAACGAAACATTGAACAAGTAAAAAAAATCGGATAACGAAAAAATCAGTAACTGAAAAATCAAAAAATAAAAATATCTTTAAATGGAAAAATAGAAAAATTCAAAAATTTTACTGAAAAATCCAACAATTTCATAATGAAAATCGAAAAACTAAAAATCGAGACACCGAAAAATTGAAAAATTGTAAAAATATGGAAAAATTAAAATAAAACTGCAAAATCGGATAACTGAAAAATTGGAAAAACGAAAAAATAAAAAATCCCGAAACTGAAAGATGAAAAAATCCAAAAACTAAACAATTTTGCAATTTTTCAATTTTAAAATTTCCAATTTTAATCAAAATGAAATTTTACAAAATCGAATAACTATAATACCGAACCATTAAAAAATGCAACAACTAAAAATCGAGAACTTGAAAAATCGACAAAACGAAACAATTTTGCAGTTTTTCGTTATAAAATTTTTCAAATTCTCAATTTTTAATTCTTTATTTTCTCGATTTTTCATTTTTTAATTGTTCAACAAAAGGACAAATTTATTCAAACCGAAATTTTGAATTGGATTGAAAAATCAAAAAATTGAGAAATCGAAGAATTGAAATAGTAAAGAAAACTTGAAAAAACCGAGAAAATGAGACTTAAAAACTGAAAATTGTAAGATTCAAACCTGAAAGCCCTGATTAATTAAAAATCGAGAAAGTGAAAAATTCAAAAAACGAAAACCAAAAATTTATAAATTAAATAATCAAAAATATAAAAAAAAAATTCTAAAATCCAAAAATTTTAAAATGAAAACCGGGAAACTAAAAAATTAAGAAATTGTGAAAACGAAACATGGAAAAATTAAAAAATTGTAACATTGAAAAACGAAACACTGAAAACCGAAAAATTTAAAAGTTGAGAAATCGAAGAATTGAAAAAATACAGAAACTGAAAAATCGGACAATGGAAAAGCTAAGAATTGTACAACTGAATATTAAAAACCTTATAATTATTTGAAAAAAAAATTAAAAATGGAAAAATTGAAAAAATGAGAAATTGAAAATCAAAAATTGAAAAACCAAAGTTGAAATATCGAAAAATTGCATACATTGGGTAAAGAAAAAGCAATTAAAAAATGGAACAACTGAGAAAAAGATAGAAACTAAAATCGAAAATTTGTAAAAGTGAACTAGAACATCGACAAATACAAAAATTTTACTGAAAAATCCAACAATTTCATAATGAAAATTGAAAAACTAAAAAATGGAGAAATGTAAAAATGTAAAAACGAAACACGGAAAAATCGAAAAATTATCAATCAAAAAAACGAAAAATTTAAAAATCTCGAATTGAGAAATCAAAAAATCGAAGAAACAAAATAATTTAGCATTATCCACTTAGAAGTACTTTATTTTTAATTTTTCATTTTCTCAATTTTTCGTTTTTTAATGTTTCAACAAATGGGCAAATTTATTAAAAATGAAAACCCTGAAAATTTAAAAAACAGAAAAATCGAACAATTGCAAAATTGAAAATCAAAAATAGAAAAAACGAAACTTGAAACACCGAGAAATTTAAAAATTGTAATCTCAAAACTTGAAAAACTGAAAACTTCGATAATTGAAAAAACTACTGAAAATTTGATGAAAAACAAGAAACTGTAAAATCGAAAAACAAAGTTTTCTAGAAATACAAAAATCGACAAATTGTAAAATTCAAAAGTTGAAGAATCGAAAAATTAAAATGTCTAGAGACTAAAAAATCGAAAAATACAAAAAATGTAAATTGAAAAATCCAAAAATGACAAAATAAACATGGAAAAACTGTACAATTACAAAATCGAAAACTGAAAAATTAAAAAAAACGAAACATTGAACAAATAAAAAAAATCGGATAACGAAAAAATCAGCAATTGAAAAATCAAAAAATAAAAATATCTTTAATTGGAAAAATCGAAAAATACAAAAACTTTACTGAAAAATCCAATAATTTCATAATGAAAATCGAAAAACTAAAAAACGGAGAAATGTAAAAATGTAAAAACGAAATACGGGAAAATCGAAAAATTATCAATCAAAAGAACGAAAAATATAAAAATCTCGAATCGAGAAATCAAAAAATGGAAGAGACAAAATAATTTAGAATTACCCACTTAGAAGTACTTTATTTTTAATTTTTCATTTTCTCAATTTTTCGTTTTTTAATTTTTCAACAAAAGAGCAAATTTATTAAAACTGAAAAATTGAAAAACTGAAAAATCAAAAAATTAAAAAACTGAAAAACCGAAAAAGAAACACTGAAAAACCCAACAATTTAATTGAGATATTGAAGAATTAAAAAAATAAAGAAACTCAAAATCGAATAATTAAGAGGTCAACAATTGGAAAAGGGAAAATTGCAACCTTAAAAATGAAAACCCTGAAAATTTAAATCACAAAAAAATCGAACAATTGCAAAATTGAAAATCAAAAATAGAAAACACGAAACTTGAAACACCGAGA